AGCTGGTTCCAAAGAACTATTCATAGCTGCCAGAAGTTGGATGCTATCCGAAGACATGTGCTTGTACCATAGCAGTATAACAGATAATGAAGTTGAGGCATGCGTAAGACCTCGACCGGAATGGGTGTTAACGGATTGTCAAATGTTAGCTGAACTAGGTAACTATTTACGTATTAACTACATTACTGTAATTAGACTCTTTCGTGGAAGCCAAGAATACTTTGCAGGCTACTCAACGAATACACAGTATACTCTCCAATTCAGATAATCTGGAGGATACATTACCTCTTACCAATCCAAAACGTCAAAGGTAGATTCCTCCTATTGCTTAATCACAGAATGCAGAGTTGAGACAAAGAACTCTTCTTACGCTTACAACTCAGTGGAACTTGAAGCAGTGGAGGCACAGAAAGTTTGTTTGCCTTCAAAATACCCTACAACAAATTTCATGGAAACTGTTATGTCACCGATAGCCAGGTAACGCATTCCTTTAATATCATTACTCCTTCAGCACTTCCACTCAACAAATGCCAGTGGAACGTCTTCACCTATATCGCAACCATTTCAGCAGACTACGTATGTCATTTTTCATTAGTAGTTACTTTGCAGTAAGGAAAACTGTGATTCAGGTAATAAAGTGATCATGGAGTTGCAGTCAATTAGAGGCGAAATGCATTCCTTTAAAGGAGAAATGAAAGCAGAACTTCAGTCGCTTAAAACAATAATAGCGCAGTTATTGTCAGTGAATAAGTCAACGGGTGTGGCCACCTTTGGAAGCGGAAAATCAACCATTGACAATAGTCAACTGCAATTCCCCTTGGCTACTGAAGAAGAGTTCAGCCAACTGGAAGCGTCACTTAAAAATCCGAAATTTAAAGAACCATTCGTAAGTTCACAATAAACCTTTACTTACTTTCAGATGATGAAAATGGCGGAGAAATTATCTTTCAATCCAGAGTCTTCGTTGAGAGGGATGCTGAATTATGTTATGGAGCCTAAGCTGTCAAGTCGTTTTACAGCATTTGGAACACCAAAGAAGTTGGCTCTCACTAAATGCAACTTTTATGCAGTTATAACGTGTAAGCTTGCTTTATTTAATTATTTCTTTCAGCCGTCATTGTCAGCAAGTTCGTTTCAGCTACAATGTCTGATGACGACGTTAAGAAAATTTTAAAGAAGACTGTGAAGGCCTACTTCCATGACATACGTGACCGCATAGACAAAAGGGAGAGCCGGCGAAGAGTAAGTAAACATTTTTTGTTAAATTAATGCTACTACACTACAAACCCTTTCATGTTATAAATATTAATTAACTAAATTGTATTTTTATTTTTTAAAGGTTGCAGTTGACAATAAGAAGAGTGACCAGAGGATCTCTCCTGTAAGTTACAATTTAACTAAGTAAATGCTGTAAAATTTACTGAAACTTAAGGTTTTTAAGTGTGAGTATTTAATAATAATAATTTTAGTTATACTCATTAATGAAATAAAATTTTAAAGCTGAATAAACACGTTAAGTATTTCATTATTACAGTGTCAATTGTCTATATAAGTGCCAATGTGGATTACTACCTTAATCAATAATTTTTCTTTCTTTTCAGGACACTTCAATGGATCTACTTGACGATGGGGAAAATTAGTAAAAGTGCAATCCGATGTCAAATTACAATGCAATCATTCTACTTGTGTGTATTAATCGCAACAATAACTGTTGATTAATCCTAAAGAATTAATTTACCGAAATCTTGTAAACTGTTTTCCTTTAACCCTAAAAAAAAATGAAATATAATTTTTTCAGGTTAAAAAACCTTGATTTGACTTTTGAGTTGTTTGACGTAATCAATATAAGGCTATATTAAATGGTTGATAGGGGGAAATTTACCAGGTTAACGGTGGAATATTCGTTAAAAAGGGGAAGATTATGGTGGTGATATTCGATAAAAAATTAGGGAAATTCTAGGGACAGAATAGGGAAACTGTGCGATTTCTGGGGACAGAATGGGGAAACTGTGCGAATTATGGGGAAATTGTGCGGACAAAATGGGGTAATAATGGGGACGAAATGGGGGAAAAGGGGTAATTGTGGGGACAGAATGGGGAAATTGTGGGGACAACATGGGGAAAATGGGGTAATTGTGGGAACAAAATGGGGACAACGGCACTTTACAAAATGGGGAAAATGGGGTAATTGTGGGAACAGAATGGGGACAACGGCACTTTACAAAATGGGGAAAATGGGGTAATAATGGGGACAAAATGGGGAGAATGGGGAAAATCCTACTATTTCCTCATTTTGTCCCCATTTTTACTCTATGCAACGTCCCGATTTTGTCCCCATTTTGAACACGATTTTCCCCATTTTTGTCGAATTGGGTTTTTTTTGTGTCTTCTTCTCTTTTCAAACATACTGCTTTCAAAGAAGGTACTGATGCAGCGCCGCTATTCTCCACTTATTAGTGATATTGCTAGCTCATCTGGTGAATAACGGGGTCACCGATATTATAAAATCTGCTAACAAGTTCAAAGTCGGTCTCATAAACAACTGGAAATGTCACATATATGTTGTACTTACAGGTGAATTTAATGTTTAACAGACTGAAACACTTTATGAATCATTTACTGATAAGTATTGTTTATTCTGCATCTCCTATGTATCACGTCAGCACCTGTACAGAAATGATACTTACCTTCCTCAACTAACGCAATCATTTATAATTCCCGCGTGAAATAGACACGTATTTTTTTCAATCACCGTTTAGATTTGACGCTATATCTATTTCCTTATTTGTACACTTCATTTTAAATGTTTCTCTCACATTCACCAGTATTCAACTTATTTCTAAATTAAAAAATCATATTATATATTCTATAAGTTTTGATAAGTGTACGTATGTTTATACCTGTAAAAATGGCTGGTTTCTGTTCCAGAAATAAAAATATTATTATTAAAATATTATTATATGCTTACGCCACTAGTGCAAAAGGTTTGAAAGGTAGAATAGGTACCTAGTGATTGGAAGTAAGGTTGCTTGTGAAACTACCTAAGATGGGCATCCTGAGTCTCTGCCACTACACTCCACACCAAGCAAGATATAAACCCATGTCATCCCGCAGAGACTGAAGCGGTTTCGATGCGAAACCTGACTGGGACCGGCTGGATTCAGTGAACGCATACAAAATTGCAACACAAAGCATCATCACTTAACAGAAGATACAATGGTGGTCAAGTTTCTAACCCTGCTTTGTTGATTTTAGAGAGACCTAGGACAGCGTAAGCCAGGAAGTAATTTGTAAACCGCCTGAACATGAAAGGGCACACCATCGCAAACTATGGTCAGTCTCATTCAACACGGTAAATGTCAAGCAATTCACAGAGGAAAGCTCAGATGACGTTTCTAATTTTGATGGATCCCACTATGAGGCAGACTGTGGGAAGCTAGAAGGACTTCAACTGGACCAAAGAGGAGACATAAGAAGATGTGAACTTGAGGGTTGACTTATGTTTGATATTATGCAAACTGGAAGAAAACCAACATGTCAGCAGAAGAAGTAGTGAAGGCAGGACTTCAAGTGGACATAGTAAAGGCATATGTGATGAAGACACCTAGCCGCCAACAGCTAGCACCAATCATTATGAACGAGAGAAATTTGACTGAAGTTATCACTTTCGCTTATCGAGACAGTGTAGTTTTTGCTGCATGCAGCACTTATGATGTCAAAATCAGGATCAGAAAATCGAGATAGGCGTTCATCACTCTAAAATCACTTTGTAAATCTAATGCATTAGGCACAAATAACCAAATTCAGATTTTTTGCAGCCAGTGTTTCCATAGGATTTAGATACTCGGTACCTTACCAAAAGTATTTCCAGTAGGCTACTAAAACACCTAGTCAACAACTGACTTCATTGCACACTAAAGTCCAGGTGGCCAGAAAGGTTTAGAAAACAAGAAATCAAAGCAACGAACCGGCCAATAATATATCGCCTAACATATATGCAGGAGAAAATTGAGACGGATTGGACTTATGTTAAGTAACATGATGTGCCAGGGCTTCCAGTGGGACCCTGACTGGAGACAGTGAATTAGCTGTGGCGTAGAGAGTGACATTAAGGAGTTTGTGTAGCGATGAAATGGGAGCTCATCGCCTATCATGGAGCCGAATAGACAAGGCTGCAGGAGGCAAAGTAAAGTGGTGAAGTAGTGGTGAAGGCTTCTGCCTAGAGTAGTATTGGTGACAGTATCTCGTCTCTCTTATGAGAAGAACCTGGAGCATGTAAACCTCTTTATAAAATGACTTTTATCTCAAAACACTAGCTCAAATTACAGACCGACGACCTGCAAAATTGGAGAACACCAATGGTGTTTGTGACCCTTTATCTTCAAAAGTACGTCTGAGGTAAAGTCAAACGGGAAATACCTATCTAAAAAACGGAAGGGTATTAGTAATTCAACAGATAAAGGCCTTACAAATCATGAGGCAGATATGGATCCTACTTGATTTCTCGTTCTTCTGCGTTGAATACTGCGTCGTCGACACCCTAGACCTTTTCTTATTATCATAGGTGGTTTAATTTTGAAATGCAGTACGTTAGACACTGATTTGATCGTCGAACTTTCTAACGTATTTTCTCTTCTGAGGACATTCTGAGAGGTCATAAGAATAAGGAACTCAAAACACGGTTAAAAAAATTACTGTTGGAATTTAGATTCCCACATGGGGTGTGCAACACTTGGATCAAGTGACGTCGCGTCCATCAGTGAAAGCTTACAAAGGGAATTTAGGCCTCTGAAAATACATTTCACAAGGGTTAACGTAGGCTACAGAACCTACTACCACATATCACCAGAGTGTGTATCTAACTGAACAATTTGATAACAGAAGAACTCACTTCGATGTGATTAATTTACTCAATCACTTACTTAGCCCATCTCTCACCTCTTTCAAAGTCCACCGAATGTCAGACTAGTGACTAGCAAGCAAAAAATAAACTAGATTGTATAAGGTCGTATTTCGAATACCGGATATTAAACGCGGTCAACTCAATTTTGCGACGTGACCTTTGATCAGTTATGTTTCTGTCGTTTCTGCGCTCGCAGTTGGACATCCCATTATATTGTTTATGGCTTGTTGTTACACTTTTACTTTGCAACCTAAATAGTGTTTGCAAAGCAGAAATAGACAACGAATTCGCTGAGTTTGAAGATCCAGATGATTGTAAGTTGTTTTTTCCAGATATTCCCTGATTAAGTGCCACAAAAACCTAATCTTTTTGAATTTTTCGAAAAGCCTTGTCAATTTCATGAGTGAATTTGGTGGGAGTTGGAATTGGTAGTAGCCTAATCATTCATAAACGTTCAGTGACATTTAATACCATAAATACACTGATTTGTTCCTCACCAATGTGAACATTTGCATCACGTGTAATGCACCGTAAACTTGATAAATGCTGTCCAGTTCTTTCGAAGGTGAGCAGCACATTCAATACAACTATTAGACTCGGACAAGTGAGTGGAAAGAAAACTCTTCTTGACGTGTCACCCTTACCACTGACTCAAGAGATTAAAGTGATATCAAATTCCTGCGGTCAGTTAGTTTTGGAAAGCTTAGTGATAACCCCCAGCATTACAAATGGCTAAAGGAGGAGGTGTCGCATCATAAAAGGTTTTTAGTCAGATTACCGAATAAGCTTTTGCAAGCACTGCACTTTTTCTTTATCTCCTACCTTATTAGCATTTGTGCTTCTCAAATAAATGAAAGTCAACTAGTTTCACTCCCCACATGGAGTCGGTGCAGACTAGTCCTGATAAGGACGAGGTGGATACTAAGTGAATTGAGCATTCTGAAAATGTTTAAAAGACATTCTACTATAGTAAAGCTGCATCATCTACCTACTCATGGTCTCTCATTAGTTCTTGAGATGCTGTTAGAGACAGTCGACTCCATTAGTACAAATATATTGTAAAACTTTGACCTATTCTTTGTGGATACTATTGGTTGATGTCACTAAATTAAAACTATTGCACATTTATGTTGATCCGAAGAATGACTTGATCACCATGCAATTTCATTACTTTAATAATTAAACTACTGCAATACCTCTTGATCACCGCTATCAATGACTACCTTCACGCCTAGAAATATAGCAAGTGTCCTGAATTGTTTCAGAGTAAAATATAAAGCTTCACGACGAGCTGGATAGGTACTGATATACTTGAACGATACATACCTATTGCGTTAGGACTCTTAATAATACCTGGTTGCCTGGACCGTGGTAGATAAGGCGGGGTTCGAGAGGTAAACCAAGGAGTCACCCCTCCACACCCCCAATACAAACTGGTTTTAGCCTACAATAGAGCAAGTCTTTTCAAAATGAGTAATAGCAGGTACAGAGCTAACTGACATTGAATTAGCATCTTAAACTGCTATAGATTGATTTCACTTGATGTCTTTGTTTACCATATGGTAATTAGTTCATATATATATTTTGATTACTTGCATAAATTGGATAATTATCACTTTGAAATTCTTTCCTCTAGTTTGGGCCAAGTATATATGTGTGTTATACGGTTATTTATTTTAGCTTTCACTATCGATATTTCTGAACCTGTTCCAGTTCAGTCGATTCGGCAACAGAAATCTGAAAATGTTGATAAGAACATTTCGGACAGTAATGCTTATGATGATTCAGGAGTCAATCAAGATAACTCAGCAATGCATGCAAGTAAATCGCTTTCAGCTAATAAAATCGTTTCCACGGATAGTGAATTAGAAGTAGAAGTAAGTTGAATGCGATCTTTTTAAAGAACCAATCATCATCAGCACACTTGCATTCCAGTCCGTTCTCATGAGTCTTTTTTTTTAGCTGGCTTCACGACTGTTCATAAGCTTGCGTATCTTTCTCATGCAATTTCGATATCATTCTCGGACACCCAGTCCGTCTTTTCTCAGGTTGGAGAGCCTAGCCCATGATGCCACTCAACGCTCTCCTCAGCGTAGGTCCAATCCATCTCCATACCATTCTACGGATACTGGTTGGGTAATAGGTTCTTGATCTAGATCCATTTCTGTATGTATGGAGCTTTTAGTTCATCGTTGCTTCCAAATAGCCATATATATCTGCTTATTTATGGTATGAGGTCATGAAGGATAATAAAGGAAAAGAAGTCGCAAGACGTAAAAATAAAATATTTTAATGTAAGAGATGAGTTCAACCGACCAGCAGACATTATTCAAAAATCCAATTGAGTCTTACAGATTTTTTATTTGGCAGCTTCGTTTATTCGTACCGTTTCATTGCTTTCCACTTGAAAAGAATTTATGAACTCATTCTTATGCATAGAAAAGAGTCTAATCAATTTATGGTTGGAACACAACTTGTGTGGCCACATGTGTTTGATGGAATAGAATCAAATATCAAGGAAGTAATGTAATTGAAGTGATCTGGTTTTAAGATGAAAAAGTTGTGATGCAGTGGTGTCTTTCATTCCCAGATTAGTTGTTGTATTCTGAGTTCCTTAGCGGCGCATCTTCATTGTACTCAACTCTCTCCTCAACGACTGCCCATAGGTAATCATTTCTTCCCCACAAGATCTCCATGTCACACACAGACATCGAAATTGCCGCTTATTACTTGGATTCTTCTCGAGGGTCTGGCCTGTGATGTCGCTTGAATGTCTCCTCAACGTATGTTCAATGGATTTCTACTTCCTATTACCTGCCAGAGTCCCTCGTTGCTCACGCCATCTCTGAACCATTGAGAAACATTGACTTGACATTAGTGTTTAAAATTCCGGTGTTCTTCCTTGTACTGAATGACTGTTGTAGATCTTCACACCGATTCCAGAGTAATGAGCATCTATCTTACTTTCCCGATCTGACCTTGACTGAGATTGACATCCTCATCCGTACCGCCTATAGTTGAAGCGTTGTTACTTAGGTGAGTAAAAGAGAGGAATTCTTTTAGATTTCTTCGGTTGATGGTTATTGGTTCATGTTTTCCTGTTGGTCATCGGGTGTCTCCCCTATAGTCCTGTGTTAGTTGCCTCTTCCGCCAACTTGTTGGTTTTCACCGACTCCGCCAAGTCCAGGGTAGTATACAGTGTGTGAATAAAATTCTTATTGTTTAGTCGTTTGAATGTGATTTACTATCACCACAAGATCTCTCATTAACTTATCACTGGTGAGAGTTAATGCACTTTATATCTGGAAATTATTAAGAAGAACGAAGATAGAAAGATGTAAATAACACGGAAGTCAAAACATTTCAACACAAAATAAGTAAGGATAAGTCTCATAATGGCGTAATATATTGTATAACATTTAGGAATGAGAGCCTATGATTGCATTCATCTACCTCATTCCAGTTGATTTCGGGTCACATCATCAGTTCCTAACAATAATCTCCTGAAGTGATATTCAGTACATAGTGAAAGACGTATTGTCCATGCAGATAATATCAGGCTTGTTTTCTTCATGGTATATTACATTTTTATTCAGAGGTTCGGGTATATAAAGAGCTCATTATGAGTGTTATGAGCCAATATACTTATGAATTTACTGACTTACTAGTTCCTGTCAAACTTTAAGCACACGTAAACATTTAAAATTACGAGCTTATATTTCGTGCATAATTCATGCATATTCTCAGTGAATGAATAATAAAGTGTATTCACATTCTATAATATTGTTTTCTTGTATTGTATTGTTATTGACAAGTTGGAAGACTTGAAACCTGACGATGATGAAGAGTTTGAAGGTTTGTCCCCGCATCAACCAGTATCATCAAATGGTGATAAAGCTAATAAAGGCGGTAAAAGAAATTTGATCATCGCGAAAGTAAGTTCATTTGTTAGATTGTTTTTCTTGTTTTATTCTTATCCTTGATATATATGAGGTTATCACTGATTGAGCTTTAAAATAGAACTTTGCACAGAAGTGTGAGGAAAATGAATAGTAGTATGAGAAAACAATACAGTTTTTATTGGATGTGATAAATCACAGAGTTAATGTGTCTGCATTGTCGTTGAGAATGAGGATTTCGAGTCATATCACCGACTGTCTCCAGCCCTCGTTGGTTCTTACCATCCCGAGGATCCCAACGAGGCTGGCAGTCTACACCTCCCAGCGTGACTGGTTTAAACTAAGTGTTGTGAATTTCATTGACTGATGAAGTTTTGTTTTGGTTTGACCAGCACTAGCTTTCTCTTTTCCAACCTGATCCATCCTATGTCAGTCAGCTAACATCGTCCGTGAAGGAAGGCAATGGCTGGGCGGCATGCGCAACACCTGTTGCCATAACCATCTGAATCGATGCAGCTGCTTCACGACCTCGTCGATTGATTTATCCTCTCACCTACCGAGCAATCAATCGACCGATGTCTGACCTCAATATTGCTCAACTTATTACACCACTTAACACGGGAGGTAGAATGCAGACATCCATGATCAAAGATAGCTAACCAGCCAGCTCTTTTGTGTCTTTGACTTTCAATGGCCATATGTCAGTCACAGCAATAAAAGAGGACGGAGCGAACTTCTGCAGAGCAGTACACACATCTTTTGGTCGACAGCCAGCAGGATATCACATGTACTAATCCAGAGATAGCGTAAGTTGGCACTGATATAGCAAACGAGGATTGTGTATGCATGCTGAGATTTCGTCAGGGATGAACCCGTTGGGGCTGATGCAACTTCCTGAATGAGTGAAATGGTCAACATACCCTACCACTTCACTCCTTATCTCTAAGCTGAGTTGATATAGTCCACTTCTGTAGTGTCGCCTTACATTTGACAGGAGCGAATCACATGCCAAACATTTGAAGATTGTTGCTCAAGGTGTTCAGAATACTTTGCATTCTGTCAGCGTCTTCACCTCGATGGAATATATCATCTGCATATCCTAAGTCGACGAGATTATTCCTTGGTGATGATTCAATCCCTGAGTCGCTTAGGTCAGTTAGGGTTAAATCCATTAATACATTTATGATGAAATTAAACATAAATGGGGACTGTGGGCATCTCTGACAAACACCACTAGTTGTTACCAGTTCAGATGACAAGTTGAATACCGCAGTGACCCAACAAGCTAAACTGGCTGGGACTCATGTCCCTGCAGGTCCTACCATGTCAGGAAGGTCGTTTGGATAGTGGTTAGACTAAAAGCAGTTACCATGGGGTACATGGGCTCCAGAATCCAGTCGGATCAAATGGCGTATGAACCCATATGGGTCACCGCCAACCATGGAAATGCAGCTCCTGATGCTGCCTTGCGGATTAGACTCCAAGTCAAAGGCTTGGGGGTGGTCCCTTAAGAAAACCACCTGCTTCGGTCTGGGGTGCCCGGGCAGTATCTCAGCCCTCACACAAAGTGTGGCACATCTTTCTTGGTACCATATTATGCCAATTTTTTTCTGTGTTCAAATAATAAATAATAATAAGATGACAAGTTTCCTTAGGCTCTCACCTGGCTGCATGAGTTCGAGTAGAGTGCCTTGATCAGTGCGATGTATTTTCTCGGCATTCCCTTCACAACCGAACATCATCATAGTACCTCTCGGTCGACGGAATCGAATGTCCCTTTCAGATCAAGATATATGACGATTGTTGGACTCTGGTAAGTATGCTTACGTTTCAGAATCTGTCGAAGGGTGAAGATACGATCAATACACCTTTCTTTTTGGTGTAAAGCCTGTCTAGTTTTCTCGTGTTTGTGCCTCCCGACCACCACTTATTCTACGCAGGCTATGACTGATTGAACTTCAAATTATAGAACTTTGCAGAAAAGTGCACTAATTCAATTTGCCAGTCTTCATGCCGCACAAAGAGTAAAGAAAAGAGAGGAAAAAGAAGATCCAAGAGCTGTAATAAGCAGAAATGTGCAGGAGAAAAAATAGTAGGATGCAAAAACATCAGGGTTTAATGGATTATAGATCACAAAGAGTGAATATATTTGTACAATTTTAAGCCATATCACCGATAGTCACCAGCAGTTGATTCCTAGCATTCTAAGGACCACAACCAAACAATCTGCACCTCCTTACGTGACTGGCTCAAACCAGCTGTCAAAGATTTGATTGTACTCTCTGCTGGTTGATTTGATTACGAGGCTATCATTGTCCTTCTAGACGACGTCTTCAGCGTAAGCTTTAATATGAAGTAAACTTATTTGAATTCTCCCTCCATGAATGATGATATGATTGTATCTTCTGATAATCATTGATGTGACTGGTTGTTAATTTACGTCTTTATTGATCCTTTTTTACTGACTTGGAATTTGAGCTTTCTTTTGTCATGTGATATATGCTTTGTTAGTTGACAAATGCGGTAATATGTATTAATCGCTGACTCATCTGAGTACCAGGCTAGTACTAGAAATCCCTGAATGCATTTTTGGTGCTTCCTCTATTTAATATAACTACATTTTCCCAATCTAATTGGTATCCATATTTGTCGACATGCATTGATATGAAAGAATACATATATGACGTCTGTTTACAGCCAGTTTGTGTTCTTCGTTGCGGATTTGAAGGGGACGCCCACTTTGTTGACCGATGTAATGTTTATTGCAGTTCATACATGCAGTTCAGTTTGTGAATGGTATTAATTTTATCTGCAGTACGCACCCACTGGGATTCGAACCCACCAACGACAATGGTTGGGGTCGCACTAAATCACGAATTGGTAGAAGTTAGAATTCATGGGCTAGCCATTGAATCGGGTCCCAGTGGTTGAATGGTATACGAGCTTGCCCTGTAACCGGAAGGTCCTGGGTTCGAATCCCATTGGGTGCGTCCTGCCGATGGTTCTCAAACCAGGATGAAACAGCAGCTGTCCAGTACTTCCTGGTTTTCAATGGTTCTCTAACCGATATCAATCCGTGATCAACCCGTAAAAAACATAACTAATCCTTACAAACCAAACTATAGAAAATTAATTTTATCTCCTTTTTCTGTTGGATCTTGCGGTTTGCACAATATCGAATGAAGTGATTGTGCTGGCTGGCTAACTGGTTTGTGTGCAATATCGATTTGAAATGGCCTTATTATTCTAGATGTCATTTCAGAGATAACTTTTATATATGGTAGAATGAATTTTCTTGTTGTCTTTGATGTTGGCTTATTGTTGGTGTTATGACTGGAGGTTAAACCTATTGATGAAATGGTGAGGATGTGCATCCTTTTTGAAGATGGTTATTGGATATTTCTCCTTCATTCTCTTCAACACCGGAGTGCTGTATTGTGTGTTTGAACTCTTCTAAACAATGTCTGCACACAGTTTCTTTTGTTGGTAATCAACTAACTATTATAGTTGAGTATTTCATGTGTCTGTTTAAGTGGGTAGGTTTTCTGTCTACTTGTGTTTCCAATTTTTTCTGTTTGTTCTCTTGATTAAGTAAGACATCTGAGAATAGAATTTTCCTGTCTAATTCTTCTTCTCTTGTGGACTTAATGTCTTTAATTACTTTGATTGGACACTAGTAACTAGTGTTATGCACCCAGTCCTTTCTTTGGTGCAGTGGTAACGTCTCTGACTGCAGCCAGCACTGGGTGACGCGGGTTCGAATCTCAGAAGGGACATGAGTTCCTACAAGGCGACTGCAGATACGCATTTCTGACTGGTGAGCGCCAACTAGCACGAAACATATGTCCAGGACCTTCTGCCGATTGTCTTCCACCATCTAACAACAGTTCGTAGTGCACTGTGATGATCAGCCATCTCGCATGGTGACCACATTGCAAACTTGCCCGATAGAATTCAGTCTGCAGTAAAAGAACGATCAGGCGCATGACACTATTTTCCACCCAGTGTTCAGTCAGAGCTTCGAGATACAGTTAGTTACACGAACAAATGAGTAAGATAACCGTCGTCCCCATTAATCACCCTTATCCATCTTACTTCAGTGGCGAGTATCTTAGGTTGGTGATGACAATACAAACTTGAATGACATAATTTAGTCAGCGCCATCACTAAATACTAGACATGTGGCAGCGATTACTCTTCACTAATCAATCTATATGATAACACCTCAATTTTTCATGACTGCACTCTAGGATCTTTAAGGAATTAATAGTATCACTGAGACTGTACATAATTTTGTGCATTATAACGAGGCCATTGTAATTCGCTTAGAGACTAACAAATCCGCGTGCGAGAGAAGTAGATTCAGCCGCTGTTGCCACCCTTGCCAGATGTCGAGCTTATAAATTCATAAATTCTCTGTTACTTCCCATAAATTACCTGATGTTCTTTCAGTTGAGTGTTACTTTAAGGCATACTCTCCTTTACTAAAGCTTTTAATACGTAATCAAAACTATTACAGCAAGGATTTGACCACGGTACTTGGTGTATTATCTGTGTGTGTACGTATATTTTGTAAAAATTGAATTTCTACCCGCTTTCATCCTGTTAATTTGTTGTTATTTTGCATTTTGTCGCATCGGATAAATCGAGTTGTAATGCGTCGGTGGCACAGTGGTTAGGACTCTCGCCGACCATGCACATGGTCCGGGGTTCGAGCCCACGCCGGCGCACACCTGATATCTATGGTCGGCCTGCGAAATTTGGGCTACCGATATCCATGCTGAAAATTCCATACTTGTACCAAAAATACAGTGTGGAATCAAGCTGTAAATCTAAAAATCTAAAAAAAAAATCTAAAATGTCATTGTGATTACTTCTAAAGTCGTTTCCAGTTGTCTACAACTCATGAAAGGATTGAGTGGATGGATGGTGGAGAATCAAACTCTTGTTCGGTGTTCGGTGTAATTCTATTGATTATTAGGACCATAACGTGTAGCCGGTGAATTTAAATCGAAGTGAAATTCGTTAAAATACAGATAGGACTTAAATGATAGATACAACACAGAACGGTTAAAAATTTTAGTATGGTGTTCATCACACAGTGATGGACAATGAAACCATGTTATCAGTTTATGAGTGGAATGTAATCTCAGTAAGTTGTTTGTTTCCAAACTAAATTGAATCTACGTTGTTTTCGTCAGAATGAATTTATACCCAACTCCCTTATCCATTAAATTTCCCATACATGTGGTAATAGTTTTAAGTTATCTGAAGAGCTTCCAGATGTGTGTGTGTGTGTGTGTGTGTGTTGGAAGTAGAATGATCATCAGTCATGCAGGAGGTCGGGGTTCTGTTTTCATCCAACTCAATCCTTTAAACTATGTCTGATTGGTTGTTATTTTGGGGAAATAGGAACGGTTGACGATGAGGACAGCAGCATCACCCAATTAAAACAAAAAGCACCGTAGCTACTGCTGGAACTCTGCTCGGAACGCAATTCAGTGGAAAAAAGCCTCTAGCAGAACCCTGGAACTAACTAATCTCATGCTGACAACTTGTCTTTGTTTTGATCCCATTGTCAGGTGTGCATAGAGTTCAATCCCTTTCAATACTGTTCATCTCTGCTGTTTGTTAAATATGCTAGAGGCGTATTTGTAAGCTATTCTGTTAAAATATTCAAGTTATCATGAAGGTATTCATCGTTCAATTTCCGCATTATGGCGACGTTTCACACTTGAACAATTTATATAATTGATATAAGTATAAAACTTGGGCACTGTGGTAGAGTATAAGGTTTTATTTTGATAAATCACACAGTGTTATACACTAATATTTACTGATGACCACGTTTCGAGCACAAATTATTATCGCTCATAAACGTATCAAGACACTACTCAGACAACTTTTTTCCTTCATTTATGTACACGAGTGGAAATGATTAGACATATGAATAAAAACCAATATAGGAAAATGTTCATTCAGAAATAATAATATGAGTGTTATTGATCAAATACAATCAGATGGGAAATAAGACGTGTTTTTATAGTCATAATAAGTAACTTGTTAGAATGTTATGATGTGCGCGAATTGAGATAGATAGAATTTTGAGATTATTTATTATCCTCTTCTGATTTGACTGGCTGGTGGTGATAATATCTTCCATATTTCTGGAATTTGCATTCATTCCTATTGCATGTGTTGGGTGTAGACTCGATGAACCAAGCAGGATTCAGTAATCAGTCTCTCTCTCTCTCCACCTACGAAGATTACTTCTTAGAATCTTAACCCTCTCCCACCGCATTGTGTGGTTGTGTGTTAATGCGTGGAGTGCAATCGCTGAGCTTTTTTCTAAATTGCTCATCTTCTCGGGGTCAACCATTCTTACCTTAGCTAAATTCTTATGTTCCGAAAATCTGACTACTCCCGACCTACTCGTTTGACCTATGTAGTTGACCTCACTCGCAGTCATTGGAAGGTATTTTGTAAATTATATTATTTTGTATAATTGGTTCAATTGATAGGGTCCTTTAACCTACAGAGGTTGTCTCTGAGTGAGTTTGTAGGTTTGAATGCCACCCTAATTTCTGCTTTATTAAGAATCCTACGAAGTAGGGTCTCAAATATCCCCTCCTTATATGGTATAACAGTAGATGACTTATATTCTCTCTTATTTATGTTATCATTATTAGTTTCCCCATTATTTTTATTTTGTCCTTGACTTTTTCCAGATCTTCCTAATGAATTTTATAGGATAGTTAGTTATTTAATACCAACGCTTTCTCTTCTTCTATCTGTTTCATTTCATCATTTAGGTCTTTTCTTAAACTACTTAGTGCTACTGCTCGGTTTGTTAGACAGCACTTAGCTAAGCCGCCTGCATTCACAGACAGATAACGAATGAGGTGATGAATTAAGGTCTAAATATCTGTCAGCAGAATGCGTTGGCTTTTTATAAATGCTAGTGTGCAGTCTACCTTCTTCTATTCGTTTTATTTTACAATCTAACACCGTAGCTAATTCTCCTTGTTCATTTTCTGATTCAAATGTGAATTTTATTCCCTCCACTAGTGGGTACACATATGTCAAGAAGCTAGAGAGAGATAAGTTCTGTTTTTAACACTGTGTGTGAAAGTGTCATCCACATAACTATTTAATTAAGTCTTTTTATTCATTTAAAAAAATTATAATAATTAAAATCAATAACTTTTCTATTTTTATCTTCTTTTTTTAGGTCCCACATCACTTGACTCGTTCATGGGATAATTTTCATTTGGAAATACTTTTCATTTTGGCCTTATTAGTGTACATGTTGAATTTTGCAATTGGACGTTCAAAAAACACACAATTGGCAAACACATGGTTCGCTGCTCATCAACCTTTACTGGAGGCTAATTTTGCTGTGGTTGGTAAGTTCTGTCAATCCATGATATGAGCGTGGTTGTCCCTGTCTTTGATTGTGTTGGAGGTCCTCATCAGTCATGATATATTATTAGTATTCCAAGAGAAAATCCACTTCATTACTCCTTTTTTTTAATAAATATTTAAGTGTGTTAGGTTTGTATGCGTGTGTGTGTCGGTGGCATAGCGGTTAGGACCCTCGCCGACGATGCATATAGTTCGGGGTTCCATCCCCGGCCGACGAACTCCTTGAAGTCGCTGGGCCAGAAATAATGCTGGTAAAGAGGAAAAGGTTAGGCATGAGGCTAGCAACCCTTTTTATATGAAATGTTTGCAGTGTGTACAACATCATATAAGACAAGTTGAAACGATTAATGGTCTACGGCGTCATCATATAAAATATATAGACATCAAGAATGTAAAATAAAATATGCTAATTTATAATCTGGCGTAAGGCATCAATGTCTATTCAGTGCTGCCGCTGATGATCACCGAATAAGTCGTCGTGGCTTTGAATTCTTTAAGTCATGCAAAGCGTTCGCTTGTTATTTGGTGTATCAGCCAACTAAAATCGTTATATATATATATATATATATATATATATATATATATATATATAACTCATAAACGTGGTTTAAACTTCCTGATTTCTAGAGCTTTCACAGACTTTAGGATACGCCCTCCCCAAACACGTTTTATAGATAGTCAAGTGTTGGTTTGTAGGGATTTGATTGATTGGTTACAGGATTTCATCATTAGGTGACATTGGTTAGAGAACCATTGGAAAACCTGGGGGTACTGGACAGATGTTTCCTAGTTTGCGACTCTTCATCAGTATGCACCCACCGGGGTTCGAACTCAGGACCTATGTCGTGAATTGGCAGAAGTTAGAATTCATGGGCCATTGGATCGGGTCCCAGTGGCTTAATGGTGTACGAGCTTACTAGTTTTGTAACCACAAGGTCCTGGGTTCGAACCCTGGCAGTGGGTGTATTCTGCTGAATTCGTCCCAAACTAAGACGAAACAGTTGTCCAGTACTCCCAGGTTATATAGATAAGTTTGAAAGATGTGTAAACATGAATTTTATGTCCTGTCTCTATAATATGTTTCGCAATAGAGGAGCTAGGTCATCGTCTGTTCTCAACATTAATGGGTTTTCGGGATTTTAATAGCTTTTGAAGCCAGCCCTTACTTGCAGAGATCAATGAGTCCTCCCTATGTATGTGTGTTCACACGTGCATTCAAATTGGTAAATGCACTGGGATGTGACATCAATTTTCGCGTTTTCAAAGGGCTTAGGCGGATATATGGGCTTCACATACTCAATTATTATGATATTCGCTGCACTAAGCGTCTTTTTAACACCAATGTTCATTCTTTGTCTAGTTGTCAAGTTGCTATGATCCCCTACATAGGGTGGCTTGATGTACACGTCTTTCTTAGCGGTGAGTGGGATGGAGTGGGTCTTGGTGTTTTGACCACTTTATACCTTCTGATGAACTCGTCTGGATAATTGTTATCAATTAGAGTTTGTGTCAGCTTTCTTTCTTTCTTTCTTTCTCGTCAAGTGTGTGTCCTTTGGTGCCTATTCGTTGGATTCTACTGAAGAGCCTTAGTGAGGTGCCTTTTCAGTAGAATCCAACCAATATGCACCGAAGAAATGTCCGAAATGTGTTGCACAAATACATTACACGATTCAGACAAATCATATCTTGTTACTTTATCTAAATTTAAAGACCTTGTTAACGTCAAATTTGTGTGTGTTTACTATCTATCTACAAGCTGAATTGAAACAAAGCTACGAATAAACTTTGCTTGTGGCTTATTGCTTAACCACTATGCATAAAGATGCTAAGGAAACAGGCAATGACCATGGCTAATTGTGTACATCAGTGTAATTGGCTACACAGGAGTAGTTAACCTGGTAGGTACACATATATAGTGTTGGTGAAGTTAGTTATTTTATCCTGATTTTCTGAACGCTGAATTGATCTCGATAGTGTTTAGGATTTCATCATGAGCTGACATCGGTTAAAGTACAGTCGGAAAACCAGCTGGGAGTACTGGACAGGTGTTTCATCAGCCTACTCTGGGACTTTCCAGCACCACGCGCACACCCATAGGCTCGTGAACCATTAAACCACTTAGACCCGATCCAGTGTCTAATCCATGAATTCCAACTTCTACCAATCCATGAAATAGCGTGACTGGCACTAGCGAGTGTCATCGGTGGCGAGTACGTGTCTTCGCACCTGACCCGCCATACCCCACTGGTTACGACTTCTTACAGGAACCCAGGTAGCTACCCACCTGAATATAAGGCCAGTCGTTAGTGTTCGCACTATATCGTGAATTGGCAGAAGTTGGAATTCATGGATTAGCCACTGGGTAGGGTCTCTGTTACTGATGGATGGTCTACGATCTCGCCCTGCAACCGGAAGGTCCTGGGTTCGAACTTTGGTGGTGGTTGCTTACTGTTGTAGACTTCCAAACTGGGATGAAATAGCTGGCTGTCCTGTATTCCCATCTGGTTTTTCAGTGGGTTCTCTAACAGATGTCAGCTCATGATGATATCCTGAAACCAATCAAATCCCTGCTAACCAATACTTTAATATCGATATTATTTAAACAAAACACATCAATGTGGAGCCAGATATAGAAGTATTCGCTTTATATATTTATGGTTTAATACATTCGTCAAGAACTGAACTATTTTACCCCTTATTGTAACTCGGTTAATCGGTGTATACAGTCGACTTTTAACTGGTGAGTGACGAGTTTATCCGATTGCTCAGTAATGCATGTGAAATATTCGCGGGGTTTTTTTCAGACTAAGTAATTCTATCATTGTATATATTTCAAAACAAGTGTTGCTCAACACATATCAGACAGTACCTCACCGAAATACATGCTGCTGTCATGTTTAAGACTGCTGCTTTCTATATTGTAAAATACCTAGCTAATGTTTTTATATTTAATATCGTGTTGTATATACCTGTGGCACACGTGTCAGTTATTTCTCACAGATACCTGTTGTATTTGTCTGTCAGGTGTTCCAATTATTTACTAGTGTGTGCATTCTATCACGAATCAAATATCAGTTAGAGAATTATTGGAAGCCTAAGAAGACTAGATAAGTCGTTTCATTCTAGATTGAAACTATTGAGCGATGTGCAAATGCATCAGGGTTGAAATTCTGAACCTTTATGTTACAATTGAGTGAGACACGTTTACCATTCAGCCACTGTATGATTGAATTCAGTGACCAATGAATTCTAAATTAACATTGTTAGTAAACATCTGCTTTACGCAAGATATAGCTGACTCTGTCGGCTATGAATGACTTCACAGTATAACTTCAGGACACTTATGTTGAAGCAGGGGATTAAATGGCTTGTCTCGTAACTTGAGAACCCCCTGGGTTTGATTTTTTCGATGACTGACCGGTTTCAGCCTAGAACTTTTCATTGTTTCGCAGCAGTTCGAGTTGTCGCACTTCACTTAGCACATACAGCAAGAGAAGAAATTAAAAAGAGACTCAAAACGGAGATAATAAACAGAGATATGAGGGAAAAAGAACAGTAATATGGAAGAACAGTAGGGTTTTATTGGATATGATAAATCACATAGACTGAATGCCTCTGCGTCAACCATTGAGAACGACGATTTTGAGCCATATCACGGATTGTTTCCAGCCTTCATTGGTTCTTACGATCCCGAGGACCAGGATGCCAACCAATCAGGAAGCTAGTCTACACCTTCCGACGTGGCTGCCTTTAAATAAGTGTTGTGAATTTCACCGACTGATGAAGCCATGTTTTCGTTTGACCACCAGTAGCTTCCTCTCTTCCAACCTGATCCATCCTATGTCAGTCAGCTAACATCCTTCGTTGAAAGGAGAGGAAGGTTATGGCTAGGCTAGTATGCGTACACATGTCTTAACCATCTGAATCGATGCAACTGCTTCACAACCTCGTCAATTGGTTCCCCATCGCCGACCTACCTAGCACTCAACCGAAGTCTAACTTCAATATTGCTCACCTTATTGCACCACTACATCATACAGGAGATAGAACGCAGGCATGTGGTTAAAGACTGGTAGCCAGCCAGACATCCTTTTCATGTCTTCGACTTTCAATGACCATGTCTCAGTGACAGTCATAAAGGAGGACGGAGTCAACTGCTGCTGGGGAGTACACACGTCCTTAGGTCGACAACCAGCCGGATATCACGCCTACTCCAGAGATGGCGGGAGTTGGCATATGCGAAACGAGCCTTCTGTATCCGTGCTGATGGATTTATGAATGCTCAATACTATCGAGTTCCAAACTAGGACAAGAAGACTGTCCAGTACCCGTTGGCTTTCAGTAGTGCGCTTCAGCGGCAGCACATCACCATTTCGTACTCTGTTCTCTGCTGATTTTTAAACTCCTCATTGTCTCTCATTTTCGCCTCCTGACACTATCTCCACGTCACCCTCAGATAAACCGATATATGAAACTGTTTAAATTAAAAGCAGCAAGAGATCTACTAACCGTAGTGAAATCTCTTCTCTTCACCCAATTGCTGAATGAACCTAAATTTATTAGTTTATTATTTCCCACCTCCTTGTTAAATATGTTCTTTGGCTTTTTGTGTGTTCCCCTCATTTGTATCAATTTAGGCGATGATGGTCAAGCTGAACCTGGAACTGGTACACTGATGAAAGAATCAGAACATTTATATTCACTTTGGTGTACTGGCACTGTACATTGTGATGCTATGCTTATTGAACTGCGTTTAGTTAGACGTCAGTGTTTATTTTTTGCTATCGCGCATTGGATTAGACCAATTCATGATAGTATTGTAAGTTTTATGGAAATAATTTGCCTTAAAATTATGTAGTTATGCTTAATTTCAATCTCCTTTCTATAATGGTATCGATTTCTGAGTCATCTAGGTGAATAGTTGAGCTTTAAGTGAATATTATTATTACTCCTTTGCGTACTGAGTGGAACATTGGGCTTTAACAACACGCCTCTATTTTTCCCCGTTCTCTGCAGTCCTCGTCAGCTAACTCCATGATTGCCTATGATCTTTCATCTCCTCCTAACCGACCTCCTCCATGTAACCCTGGAATATCCAAATCATCCTTTCCCATTCGTTTTCTACTCAAATGGTGTTTCCTCAGCGTGTGTCCGGTTCATCTCCATTCTGTTGGGCAATAGGTTCTTGATTGGTTTGTTCCCAGAGTCCTTTGTTACTAAGCCTTTCTCGCCATTCGATCTTCAGTAGCGAAGGTAGCTGTTAATAAAAGTCTACAGCCTATTCTACTGGAGATGATTTTCGTGACGTGCCAAGCCTCTGATCCATGTTAGGAGAACTCATTTAACATTGGTATTGGAAATTCGAATCTTGTTCTTTATGCTGATCTTAGCAGATTTCCTAGCTGAAGACTTCAAAGTGAAGACTATTACGCGATAGGGCATTCTAGTTTCATTCAATCTACTGATCGGCTAGCATTGTAATCATTCACTGAAGTTTTTAGGGGTTGCCAGTTGTCTGATTTATTAATTACCTATCTTAATAATTATTATTCCAAGGCAAGTTTTGTCACCTAGACCACTGGATATGCGTCTCGTCCTGTTTAGGGACGCATTCACCACGGTACATCGATAATTCTCTACCAGTTGTCGTTGCCAGGACCTTCGAGTTGTGAGATCAACACCTGTCTAGTGCTGAGGAAGTCATGTCTTTATCGAAAGTTTTATCGTAGGAATGCCCGCCAGACAGTGTGTGAGGGGTCTGAGTTCAACTCCCGATTGATGCACTCTTAAACTTCAGCTAACCGTTTTGTAAGTCCAGAATAGAAGGAAGGTTGGGTGTAAGGCTGGCAACCTGAATGGGAAGCGATATTTGTGGTATGAGCCCGAGGGTAACTTAAAGGAGACAATTGTGGAGCTAGTGTCTGTGTACGTGATAAGGAATGCAGACAGACTAAAGTCCCCATTGATTTGTAATTAGTCGTGAAATATCATTATCCGAAAAGATTTTGATAAAACATAAGAATAGTATAAAGAATAACTGTTTTGGTGTTGCTGTTGGAAGGATGAAATCCTAGACTTGATTTCCTCTTGTCCTTACCATTTTGTTCGAATTGGAGTCGACGTTAGATAGCAGTGGGAAAGAATTATTTAGTTTTTACTTTTTGGGAAAGTAAGCAGGAATTGAAGTAACAGTATTCATTCAGATGAGATTTAGGTCATTCAACAACGACTTACCACATCTGATAATTGAGAGGGCTAACGATACTATCTGGCTGCACAAACCTCACTAGTAGGTAGAGTGGGGTTCGAACTCGTGGCCGTATGTAGTTAGAAATCAAGCGCTTAGACTAGAGAGTCATAGTTCTATTACAGTATACGATGGTACTATGAAAACATTACGTTAGCAGGTAGCTTACAAGAAGTTTTAACTATGGGGACAGATAAATAAGGAAAATATTACAAGTGAATGACCAGCTAACAGAATTTATTCCAAAATGTATGAAGAATAAGGAATTCAAAGCTTTAGTATTACTGCCATATAAGGAAAAAGGTATCAAAAGCTCTACGTAGGATCCTTAATAAGGCTGAAATTGTTTTTAGGGAAAATCAGAAATATTCAACTGATGTTTGACAATAAAATAAATGTGTCCTTGCATGATATCACAGCATTGTACACTTCAATTGGTCCTAAACTAGCAAAAGAAACTATGCAGCAACCATTCCAGAATGATGAACACACGAAAACTCAATGTTCAACTTTGATGGAACTTATAGATATACGTCGTACAAAATACTGCCAATTCAATAATTCAATACACGAGGAGATAAAAGAAACACCAATGGGATAGTCCATATCAAGATTAATAGCTGAAGATGTTATACAGAGATTAGAATTAATAGCTCTACCTATAATTAAACTGAAGATCCAAGTACGTTATGCTGATCATACATTGGTAATAACTAAAAGAAATGATTTGAAATACACTCACAAATTAATCTACCACATTTATGAAGACATTAAATTCAGAAGAGAAGAGGAATTAGTCAAAAAATTCCATTCTTAGATGTCTTACTTAACCAGAAGGTCTAACCCAGGAAATTTAGAAACACAAGTATATGGAAAATCAGCGCATTTAGACCAATTATACTAGATTATAGTAGCAATATAACCCAAATAATCCACAAAAGAAAATGTGTGCAGACATTGTTTAGAAGAGTTCAAAAACCATACAGCACTCCGATGTTGAAGAAAATGGCGGAAAAATACCTACTAAGCATCTTCAAAAAGTATGTTTAAACTCGAGTCATAACACCAACAACAAGCCAACATGAAAGACCACAAGAAAATTCACCCTACCATGCATAAAGAATAGCACACATGCCAGTCAACCAGCACAATCATTATTTCGTTCGATATTGCTCTATCCGAAAGATCCAACAGAAAACAAGAAAAAAAATAATACCATTTACGAAATAAATTGCATGTATGAACTGTAATAAACATGACATCGATGGGCAAAGTGGACGTCACCTTCGAATCCGAATTCAAGAACACAAACTGGCTGTAAACATACATTGTAACAACAGAAGACAAGGGCCGGCAACAGATCGTTTTATTACGGAAATCAACATATATTTGTATATATTTCCTGTACATTATTATAGCTTATGCAAGTAGACAAACGCAGTCTTGTGATTGGTTGTTTCGGGTAACATCGAAAAGTGGAGCCATCTATCTGCGAATCATATTTGCTCACGTTAAGTTTGCTGTGATTGGTTGTTGAATCAGCCTTGTTCATATTTTCTCACGACCAATATTAGTGACCTAGACATTGAAGTAGATTGATGTCTATCAATTGGCTAGCAGCCTGCTCTCACCACATCATATATTTTCTTTCGTATCAATGCATGTAGATAATAATGAACACCAACTTGGTTGGGATAATGTAGGAATTTCAAATAGATGAAACACGAAAACTACTTCCAGGGTATTCCTAAAAACCTGCTGAGGGTAGATAGACTTCAGTCTTCCTTTCAAAACGCCCTCTGTCAGGTAATTCCTATTCATCACTGCCTTCACTGGGCCAGGGTGTCCCTCACAAAAGTTAAAAGGTGAATGTGAATGTTTGGCATTTACAACTATTCTGGTGGACATGCAGGTGTTTACCTGAGAGATGTTGATTCCAAATCTATAGTGTACATGGGCTGCAAAATCCGAATGGATCTAGTAACGTATGAACCTGGTCTGGTCAACACCAGGCATGATGTACTGCTCATCAGTTCGCTCCATCCTTCTCTATGGCTCTGAAACATGGCCAATACGCGTTGAAGACATGAAAAGGTTGACTGCTTTCGATCATAGATGTCTGCGATCTCTGTCTCACGTTAGGTGGTTTCACAAGATAAGTAATGTTGACGTTAGGCGTAGAGTGTTGGGCAAACAGGGAAAATCAATCGACGAGGCTATAAAGTTACATAGACTAAGATGGCTAGGTCACGTGGTGCGCATGCCTAACCACCGCCTCCCCCGACGGGCATTGTTAGCTGATATAGGTTCAGGTTGGAAAAGAGCCAGTGGTGGCCAAACAAAAACATGGCATCAATCCATGAAATCCTTGACAGTTAAACTGAGTCAGGTAGGGAGATGCAGACTCCCGGGTTGGGGCCCTCGGGACTCTAGGAATCAATGGCTGGAGACAATAGGTGACATGGCTCAAAATCGTTGTCAATGGCGCAGATGTATTCAATCTCTGTAATCTTTCATATTCCTTTCTACCATTACCCATTCTGTTTCACTCTTATATCTGTCAAACTCTATAAATTCTCTTCACTCATCTTCTTGTCTACCTCTGTGCTATTTGGAAGGTGGCAACTCGAACTGCTGCACTTCGGTGCCAAGTTCTATGTTGAATCCAGACAGACAGAGACAGACAGACAGGCATGAAAATGATGTAGCTCCTGACTCTCCTACACTACCTTATGGATCAGATTTCGAGTCGAAAGGCCTTGAGAGAGGTGGGGGGAGGGCTGTGGCCGAGTATAGTCTCAGCCCTCGTACAAACCACAGGATTTTGTGTGGCTCATCTGCTGGTGTCCATAATGTAACAAGTTTGTGTTCTAATAATCATAGATAGATAATAGAAACGTCATCAATCTGTGGCGCTTGCTTGCCGAGTCAAAATGAAGGTGATCTAAACGCTCTCGGAGAGTCATTTGCCGCTGAGCTCCTTCCTAATCAGCTGCGTAACAGGTTTAACTCAACACAATACAGAAAACCCAGGCAGTCAGTCAGTCTCCTAAATATGTTCATAGCCATGTGATTTACGTTTGAGCTTTTTTTTTACATTTTATTTCACTTTGTATATTCCCTCTTTATAGGTAGTCAAAGTAATTATGGATGATAATGAAATGGACGGTTGGGTTATGTCAGTGGGTCGTAAACGTTGTCTTCAAGCCTTAGTCAAAGATCATCAAGACTTAGCTGTCTATTGTCCAGATAAACGTGGTCAACGCTTTCAACATCTTCCAGAGTCATTTATTGTATTAAATGAAATTCCCGAGGTTGTTTTAGCTATTCTCAATCCACCCGTAAGTGTTAATTCAATATTTCAAGTAATGCTAATTTATTACTATGATTATTATTATTATTATTTTATATTTAGCTTTTGTTACTGTCTAGTAATGATTGCAAATTGGCTTTGTGATTTACTCCTCAACGAGTAATGTTAGCCAGTGTAGGGGATTGGGTTAGGAAAAAGCTTCCGGGTGGTCAAACCCAAACCTACAATTAGTCCATGATCGTTGGCTTTCCCTAGCTACGTAGAGAGTTATAGAAACTTTGATATTAGGATAAAAGTTGGGTACTGCGGCGGTGGAGCATAATCCCATTATGGAGAAAAATTTATTTTGATAAAGTCACACATGGTCCGGGGTTCGATCCCCGGCCACCAACTCACTGGTTTACCTCGCTGAGCCAGAAATAATGCTGGTAAAGAGGAAAGGTTGGGCATGAGGCTAGCAACCCCATGCTGTAAAATAATAAACACAGCTACGGAAACTTCAAGCCACTTTAGCTTGAAGCCCTATGTTCCACTGGGGAACGTGAAGGAAAAAAAGTATTTGCTGATGACCGCGTATCGAGCACAATGCATTACCGCTCATAATCAGAACAAGGCACTACTCACACAACTTTCTGACTTTGTTTATACACATTAGTGAAAATTGATTAAACATATTAATACAAATCAACATGAAGGCCAATAGACATGCGTGAAACAGACACGTAGATGAAGTACACTCGGAACGAATATTAGTGTTGTTAATAAAATACAATAGGATGGGAAGATACAATGAATGTTGTTAGTCAGTAAGATGGGAAATAAGATGTTTTTTACAGTAAAAATGAGTAACTTGTTAGAATGTTATACTGTGAATTGAATTGAATGTATTTTAAGATTATATACTATTCTCTGATTTGACTGGTAATAATATCTTCCATATCTCTGGTATTTGCGTCGAGTCACTCTTATTGCATGTGTTGGTGTTATGTACTCGTCGAGAAGTTAACTGTCCTGACGCGACGGAGGCAAATCAGAAGACCACCAAGTTCACGATGATAGGTGTATTTTCCAACAAAGGAAATTGACTGTCACACAAGTGTGTGAGTGAAAAGATACGTAGTGAACGAAATGTGTGAACAAATGTGTATGAAAGTGTACAGTGCAAAAGTATATACGAAAATGACTAATACACATGAAACAATAATATAGACATCTTACCATGATTGGATTCTGATTGGTTGTAATGTCATGTGACAAAAAGGTCATACGTTGTTTATTTAGTTAATGGACAGATAAAAGCATATTATGAATTATAATGGAATATCGATCAATATGCACATAGCAAAATATAACAGACTCAAAACAAAACACACATCATGTGACTACATATCAGTTGGGTGTGTGGACTCAATGAACCAGGATTGAGTCATCGATCGCTCTCTCCACCTACCTATATTACTTTTTAGAATTGTGAATCTTTCCCACACCATTGTGTGGTGGTGTGTGAATGTATGCAGTGCGACTGTTGAGCTTTTTTCTAATTAACTTATCTTCTAGGGGTCAACCATTCTTACCTTAGCTAAATTCTTGTGTTCCGACAATCTCCCTACTCCCGATCTGCTAGTTTGACCTATATGGTTGACCTAATTTTCAGTCATTGCAAAGTATTTTGTAAATTATATTATTTTGTTTAATTAGGTCAGCCTACAGGGTCCTTTAACCTACAGAGCTTGTCCTACCTGAGTGAGTTTGTAGGTTTGAATGCCACCACCCTTATTCCTGCTTTATTGAGAGTCCTCCCACGTAGTAGGGTCTCAGATATCTCCTCCTTATGTGGTAGAGCTCTAGATGCCTTATATTCTCTCTTATTATTTATGCTGTCATTATAAGTTTCACAATTCTTTTGATCTTTTTTGATGTTCCTAATGAATTTCTTATCGAATAGTTAGTTATATAACGCCAACACTTTCTCTGCTTCTATCTGTTTCATTTCATCAGTTAGATTCTTTGATGTACTACTTAGTGCTATTGTTATGTTTGATAGAGACAGACATTCAACTAAGCCTGCCTTCAAAGAGAGATAACGGATGAGGTGATGAATTAAAGTCTGAAGTTTCACGCATGTCTATTGGACTTTATGTTGATTTCTATTTATTCATTCATATGTCTAATCAATTTTTTTTACTCAACTGTATAAACGAAGTCAGCAGGTTGTGTGAGTAGTGTTGTGATACGATAATAAGTGGTAATAAATTGTGCTCGATACGTGGTCATCAGTAAATATTACTGTATAACATACGCTGTGTAACTTTATCAAGATAAATTTTATCCCTAATGTCGACAGTTTGGCGTCCTCGGGATTTGAAGAACTAATTACTCTGGAGTCTGCCTGTCTGTCTGTTTTCAACATATAACTTTGCATAGATGTGCAGCAGTTCAAGTCGCCACATACCATGTAGCACACAAAGAAAGAGAAGAAATACATAATAGAGACAGTAAACAGGGATATAAAACAAAAGGAATAGTAATGACGAAGAGCAATATAGTTTCATTGGGTATTATAAGTCACAAGGAGTGGATGCGTCTGCGTTAGCCATTGAGAACCATTTCGAATCATATCATCGATTGTCTCCGGCCATCATTGGTTTTTATCGTCCCGAGGACCCCAACCAGTGAGGAAGTCTACATCTTCCTACGTGGCTGGTTGGCTTAAACTAACTGTTGTGTATTTCATTGACTCGTGCCATGTTTTGGTTTGACCGCCGCTAACTCCTTTCCAGCCTGATCTTATGTCAGCTAACATTGCTCTAACATTACTCTGGAGACTATTTGTTAGTGATATGGCTCAAAATCGTTCTCACTGGCACACAGATGCACTTGATCTGTGTTATGCTCCAGATGCCATTAAGTTCTCATGTCTCTCAATGAGATCCTCAGTGTCTTCTATAACTTGTTGTATGTGTTTGGAATGGAAGAATCATTTCTGTAGTTTGAGTAGTAGTACCCTATGTACCACATGCTCATTGAGTTGCTTGTTAAGAGCACTTTGTCTATAATAACAGCGAATCATAGTAATTATAATAATAAATGTTCCAATCCTTGTGGACAGCAAAGACCTTTAAGAACTATAGGCTAAAATAAAACATCTCTATGACATAACAAGGGGATCATTGTCAAGTCTGTTGCAAAAATGTTTTCATTATTATTCTATTTTTTGTAGGTTTGTAAGTTTTTATGTGAACATGAAGATTCAATTGACTACTTGTTCTTTTCGGATCAATACAGTGGACCAAAACCTCCACAAGAGTAAGTTGTTCAATGCCTTTTTACGCCTCATTGACTGACTCCTTGCGCGTCGTTCCCTGTGAAGCGTGTTTAAAGTCTCAATAGCGATAGTGTTGTTTTCACCCCATAGCGGAATTGTCAGCCCCACGCTCAACCTTGTCCCTCTTCTTTCGTGCCTATTCTAGTGTCTAGTTAACTAGGCATGGTGAGTGTATCGGCTGGGAATCGAACCCAGACCATATGTGTGGTTGGTGATTGTGCAGTTCTTACGTCTAAAGAACAGTTAGTGGTTCCATTTATAAATCGCAGTATTACATCTGACACATGTTTGTTCCTAGAGGAACACGTTCTCTGCCAACGTTTTCGCCTGGCATCACATCTGCCCAAATGCTGTAATCTCCTCTTCACATGATCTCCTTCTCCATGTCACCCTCGCACTGACGAGCAACTCACCGCTTCCTGTTCGAGTTCCGCTCGAGCGGTGACCTGACGTGTCACTTGATGGCTTGGTTCCTCAAAGTATGGCCTCCAATCCACCTCCATTTCTTCCTGCATATTTCTTGCACAATCAGTTCCTGCTGGGTTGGTTCGTTCATTGCCAGAGATCCCTGTTGGTGGTCTTTTCTGGCCAGCCATCTGATCTTGAGTAGTATTGAGTGAAGATAGCTGTTGATGAAGGTCTGTAGTTTGTTCAAAGTGCCCTTCGTGACGCGGAGCGGCACCAAGTCTCTGATCCGTATAGTAAGTAGCACTGATTTCACATTGGAGTTGAAAATTCGGATCTTATTTTTCATGTTGATCTCCTCACAGACTTCAGATAAATGAAATTTTGCTTTTCATTCCCGATCCTCGCTTTGATATCCTTGTCAGTTCCGCCTGTAGTGGTCCAAAGTCGGTTATACCTAGAGCTGATTTCTCTTTCATCAGGTTATGGGTCACACTTGGTGTGTAAGAGCTGTTGGTACACTACCCAATCGGCCAGATTGTAGGTAAGCGGGGTGGCACTTAAACTCATGACTCAACGACTTAGGGTCGATTTCTCAAACGAATAAAACACATCTCCACGTGTTTCAATGTATTTCAGCAATGCGTCTTAAACATTCTGACCGCACACACATCATACCTATTTATTGAAGAGTGAACAAACTTCGAAAAGTCAAAACGAAACCAGAACGCCAATTCACTAGTCTATCACGTACTGGACCCTCCTCGTTAAACTCACCATCTAGGTTGTATTCAGTCATTGTGGGAGTACAGTACGTTCAGTTGACAAATCCAAAACATGGAGAAACACGTGCCATTATAAGCTGGCTAGCATCAGTCAAATATTATCAAGTTATCTTCAAGGCAGTATTGAATCTTCTGTACCAATAGCCGATGTGTCAACAGAGGCAGAGCGTTTCATCTGATTAAAAATCAATCAACAGGAGATCCAAAAATAAATCATATCATCAGATAACTTTAAAAAAGATTTTGACTGTTTTTTAAAAATTCCCTAATCTCATGTCGATTTAGTCTGTGCCATGATTTCCTTATTCTCCAAGCTACTACACAGCCATCTGTCGGATATATCAACGGTACTGTGGTGGCTCACTCATTTAGACATTCGATTTTCTATTGTGGTGAGAGCTGGCTGATAGCCAGATTGGTAGACAGTGATTTACGTCAATGTTTATGTCCCGAATATTAGTCGTGAGAAAAATGAGAACAAAGGCTTTGCGTAGGCGGATACAGTTAGCATATAGATGATCTGACATTCTAGAAAAGCCACAAAGAGATGAGAGATTAACTTGCAGTGAGAAACAATCTATCAGAAGTCTGTGTTTTTCTGCTAACAATAATCTATAATAATGTACATGAAAATCTATAAATATGTGTTGATTTCCCTAATAAACGATCTGTTGCCTGGCTGACCCTTGTCTTCTGTTGTTACACTATTACTAATGGGTTTGAACTCCACCCCATTCACAGGTATTCAGTCACGGACTCACACAATAGTTAAGCAATCATTGAAAACCAGAAATCACTGGATAGCTGTTCCCTCTTAGTTTTTTAGTGCTCTTCAGCGCTGTGTACCCTCAACCCTGCCAAGGGTAAAACCCGGTACCTTCATTTTGCAAGGTAAAGTCCGTTGACTGTTCAGCCATTTGCGTCGGAATTCAATGATTCATGAAGATTAAAATTATGACGGAATCACTGTTCAGTGTGATCCCTGGTTGTCGATAATTTCTAATCCTTGCTGGTTCGTGGAGGAATTAATTCAAATCTATGCGAAAACCCATGATCTAAATATCAATCTTCAGTTTACTATACCATTGGCAATAGCACTATTATTCAGTGTAAAGATATGTTGAATCTGCTTGTTATTGCTATTCTTTTCGTTTATTTTATCTCGTATTTCTTTTATCAAGGGACACAAATGTTCCTGCCAAACCGCCAGTCACTCAGAAAGCGCTTATTTTCTCCTTTCGATGTAAGTTTTCCCTGCATTAGATATATTTACACGGATCATATCTTCCTCTGTGTGTGTCTCTCTCTCTCACTCTTTAAGCGTACACTTTTCAATGAAACCTATTTGGATGACGTGATTAGTTCTCTGGAGAAATGTGGTGATGTATTTGCGCTAAGCATTCCCTAAAATCAACATCATCATCACAATTATTGAGTTGTTTATTATAAAGCGAAAAACAGGAGCCTACAGCTGTTCTACTGACTGACTGATTTCAACGTAGAGCTTTGCGCAGATGTGGGTGTGGTAAAGAGAATAGTGTTATGGAAGAACAATAGAGTTTTATTGTCTCGAGTCTTCATTGGTTCGTCCCATCTCCAGGACTAGGACCCCACCCAGTCAGGAAATCTACACCTACCAACGTTGCTGGTCTTAACTAAGTGTTGTGAATTTCATTGACTGATGGAGCCATGTTTTTGTTTGACCAGCACTAGCTTTCTCTTTTCCAACCGGATCCATCCTATGTCAGTCAGTTAACATTATCCGTTGTTGAGGGAGGCGATAGCTAGGCATGCATGCGTAACACACTTCCTAACCATCTGAATCGGTGCAACTGCTTCATAACCTCGTCGATTGGTTCCTCCCCCCTATCTATCTAGAACTCGACCGAAGCGTAACCTGACTATCTGTTCACTCTATTATGCTACCTAACACACACAGGAAATAGAACGCAGACACCTATGATCAAAGACAGGTAACCAGGCAGTCAGCTTTTTCATGTCTTACGGTTTCAGTGGCCATGTCTCAATGACAACCGTAAAGGAGGACTGAGTGAACTGCTTGGCTGGGCAACGAGGTAGTGTATCATCATCTCCTACACTATAAACGTGACTCGTATAACCTGGTACATGAAGAATTTATTCTTCGTAATCAGAGTCATGGGCACTTTGAGTTGTCACTGTGGTGTAACCAATATAATGTATCTAGTCCTTGACTAACTGAATTGACTCTCCATCAACCCGAGGACTAGACTGATTACATTAGTTACTATCCAGTCATCAATCAATGTATGCTCATTACACGCCATTGTACCACGACAGATACAACGCAGGCACCTATGATCAGCTAGCCAGCCAGTCTTTTCATATCTTCCACTCTCAGTGGCCATGTCTCAGCGACATCCATAAAGGACATAGGTCGTTTGATAGACAGCCAGTCGGATAACATAACCTCGTTTCTGTAGATATTTAGTTTTATTTTACTGGGTAGTATATTGGGCTGGGAGTTATTTATTTAACTCAGTGGCTTAATCATTTAACTTTCAGTTAATGGTCACTGACTTCCAATCCTACTCAAAAACATACCTCAAACGTGTTGGTGATTGGGTGGTGGTGGTGGTGTCAGTCAGCCCACACACACATCTCGTAGTTAGATAGGTAGGTATAGGTTGGTGCTTGTTAAAATCATTTTCAAATATAAATTTTATTTTGCTTTTCTAATGTTTTGTATTCATTATTATTACTGGCTTTTTTTGTCTCTTCTTTTCTTTTAAAATCACATCAGATGTTCCGACGACAAAGTCGAAGTCTTCATCCACACCGACAGCAAATGATGAAACAATCAGTCAACAGAATATTGAATCGTCTACAGCTCTGTTTCATTTCATTTTCTATATAATTGAAAAAGTTCGACGATTTCGTCTAAGTAAAGAGGTAAGTAGGTAGACAGGCACGCCAGGTGAATATGGTTGCTTTTTGTTTCGGTATAAAATATTGGGGAATTTTCAATGACTGACTACAGTGTCTTTTTCATAGGTGACACATTGATGATGATGATGTTTATATATGATATGCAGTTGGCATGAAGATGTGACTCGTTGACTGGATGGATAGATTTCAGTCTAAAAAATCACATCGGTGTCTTGTGTGAGAGAAACAACTGCAACCACCTTGCATTCCTAGACATATATTTGAGCCACAGAGAGAGAGTATGACTCAATAAAAGCGGTTGATTTATGGAAAAGCCGTCTTCAACAGAACAGTATTTGAACTTTTATAGCATATCTGGTCATTAGAATTAAAGGGGGACCTAGTTAAGTTTCCGAAATTCCCATTTACACATTTAGAAAAAGGCAACAGATCGAACGAAGAAATTTATTTTCTATAGCTTGGTTTGTAAGGATTAGTTTTGTTTTATGAGATAATCACGAATTGATTATCAGTAAGAGAACCATTGAAAACCAGCCATATGAAGTACTGGCCACCTGTTTCGTCCTAGTTTGAGAATCATCAGCTGTACCCAACCCACCCACTGCCTGGGTTCGAACCCAGGACCTGTCAGTTTGCCAGGTAAGCTCGTATACCATTCAACCCCTGGGATCCGACTCTTCAATGGCCAACCCATCAATTCTAACTTCTACCCCAGTGGGTGCGTACTGCCGATGATTCCCAGACTAGGATGAAACAGCTCTCCAGTACTCCAGTGCTGGTTTTCAATGGTACTCTAACTGATATCAATCCGTGATCAACTTGTGAAAAGAAATTTATTGCTTTTCAATTAGTTCCTCATCATCAGCTCTACACTAATATGTAGTGTTTTTATTAATATAAGCGTATAGCTTGGGCACTGTGGTAGAATGTAATTCCATATTAGATAAGTTTATTTTTGAATAACTTTGCACCGATGTGCAGCAGTTCCAGTCGCCACACTTCACTCAGCAGACAAAGCCAGAGAGGACAATAAAAATAAACGCACAATAGAGACGGTAAACAGATATGAGGCGAAAAGAATAGTGGTATCAAAGAACAATATAGTTTTATTGGCTATTATAAGTCACAAGGAGTCGATGCATATGCTCTGTCAATGAGAACGATTTCAAACCATATCACCGATTGTGTCCAGCCGTCGGCTTTTACCGTCCCAAGGACCCCAACCAGTCAGGAAGTCTACACCTTCCTACGTGGCCTAAAGTAACTATTGTGCATTTCATTGACTCGTGCCATGTTTTGGTTTGACCGACGCCAACTCTTTTCCAGCCTGACCCTATGTCAGCTAACATTGCCCGTCGGTAGAGGAAGGCGATGAATAGGCATACGTAACACATGTCCTAACCATCTCAGTCGATGTAATTTCACAGCCTCGTCGATTGATTTCCCACCACTTGACCGAAGCCTAACCTAAATATAGGTCACCTTATTATACCACCTAACACACATGGGAGATAGAACGCAGGCACCTATGATCAAATACAGTTAGTCAGACAGTCTTTTCATGTCTTCCACTTTCAATGGCCATGCTTCAGTGACGGCCATAAAGAAGGACGGAGCGAACTGCTGAGCAGTACACACGCCCTTTGTTCGATAGCCGTCTACGCCAGAGACGACGTAAGCTGTCATATGCGAGACTAGCCTTCTGTATCCACTCTGAGATTTCGTCCGCAATCGACGCGTTGAGGCTGCCGCGAACTTCCCAAATAAGTGAAGTGGTCAACGTGTTCTACCACTTCACTCCCTATTTCTAAACTATGAGTCAATATAACCAAGTTCTGTAGCATCATCTTCCATTTGGCAAGAGCGAATCGCATGTCAAATATTCGCAGATCGCAACTCCTCAAGGTGTTCAGGAGACTCTGCTCTATTTTGTCAGCGTTTTCACCTAGAAGAACTATATCATCCGCATATTCTAAGTCAACTCCATATGGTACATAAATAACGGATATGTACGGGATAGGGCATAAGTGCATACACTTAGAGTGACGAGGATTTAATGGAGAACACTGTTAGGCTATATCATCAACAGTCTTCAGTCATTAGCTCCTAACGTTTCTAGGACCAACCCGTATGCAGGTAGTTTACACCCTTTTCTAAGTGACTCCAACCAGAAGTTAAAGACTTCATGGAATGATTCGACCTCCTTCTTCTCCTACCCCCCACACTAAAAGATTCTTACTCAAGCCATCACTTATACATTAACAGACAGACAACATTATATTATTTTCTTTTTTGTGTATATGTGTGTATGTAGTGCGCTGTGTGTATACATTATTCTAACCGCTATGATGCAATATGATACCAGTATACATTTATACGATTTGTTTAGGGTAAAAGTAAATCTGAAAAGAATAGACAACGTGCTCATGATTCTCGCATTAAGTCAATGCATAGTCAACGCCAAGAAGCAGCTCAAAATCGTCGTGGTGAACGTATGCGTGCTGTTAAAGAGCGTATAATGGCCGAGGATGATCCTGAAAAAGCTAGAAAACTTGAGGTAATTCTGATGTGTTTATAAGTTTGATGCAGTAGTTTTTCTAAACACATATTTTGAGATGTAATTTGATTGGTGTACAGGTCGTTCATAGTTGCTGAAGCAGTTTATGACGCTGACAGCCTATAATCTCTATGATGCCTTGGTAACGCATGTAGTTTAAAAATCGATCAGATAGTATACCGTGGCATTAATTCTCAATCATGAGCTCACATCGGTTGGTGGTGAACCATTGGAAGACCTGTAGGGAGTACTGAACAACCAGCTGTTTCGTCAGCCTAATTTGGGACTCTCTAACCGATGTCAGCTCATGATGAAATCCTGTAACCAATTAATCAATTCCCCCTACAAGCCAATATTTGAAAATTCTCAATCCCATGGTACGTAAACACCGATCCACGCAAAAGGAAGTGTGATTAGAAGAGCGTGAAAGATGTGCTTGTTGATGGTTTTTCCTGACTTCTTACCTTGAAGAAGACTATTCAACTCAGGTTTTGCAAATAATGTCATCTCAACTGCGTGCTGAAATACTGACTATTCTAAGTTGTTCTTAGTTAACTGACAGTCAATGTTAGAAGTATTGAATGGACTTTTCACTAATCGTAAAGTACTGCTGCATGATTTACACACAATCGCATAAATAGATCGTTTTGAAGTAGTCTCGAAGTTCGTGTATCTAAGTAGTCAAGTGAGTTTAGGTCTCGTCATAATGTTAGTCAGGTTGTCGGTTTTTGGGTTGAGTTTATTACAGTGTTTTGGTGCATGCAGAGTCATGTCTTGCACTTGTAATGCCTGGCATGGAACATCCCTTGCATCCTGTTGTGTCACTGTATCCCTAGTACTGAAGTGCGACATACTTTTGAATATGTTAAAGATTGTCTTTCAATAGGTCACGTTATCTTGTGACACCGGCTACAATGACTTGTACGTAATCTTTGAAACCATCCCAGGGAAATCTACGGTGGTAACTGTTTTCCAATCTTGTCACTGGTTGAAAAAAAACAGAGAGTTGGTAGCCAAGTTCATTCTGTGATGAGGTGAAGTTTAATTGTATTCAGTCGGCTAATCCTTGCAAGTGTGTCAGCACTCTCTGTGGGGGTAAGCACTTAAGCTATCGTACGACAATTGCATTGACAGACGACAATTCTCTTCAGGTGTCTACACACCCATGATTTTTGAAGGCAGTCTACACCAGGATAAACTGTGCTGTGCTGCAATTAATAAAAGAACAATTACATAGACTAGAATACATGGAGATATGACTTTAATCATTCGATTCAGCCAAGCTGTAAGTAATAACTGGATCATCAAGCTTCACACAATATTCAAGTGTTGGTTTGCTGGGATTTGATTGGTTTCAGGATTTCATCATGAACTGACATTGGTTAGAGAATCATTGAAAAACCAGCTAGGACTATTGGACAGCTGTTTGAGAGAGTCTTCAGCAATAGGCATCCACCGGCAAGGTTTGAACCCAGTACCTTCCGGTTACATGGCGGGCGAACTCCTAGACCATTAAACCACTGAAACCCGATCCAATGACCAATTCGTGAGTCCAAATTTCTACCAATTCATGATATAGCGTGACTGGCACTAGGGAATGTCATCGATGGCGAGTATTTGTCCTCACGCACACTACCTCAGTCTTTTAAAATGCAATTTTTTTTTCATGCGTAACCACCTATGGACAGTTAAGTGTTAATCAATAAACAATCCTACAACTATTAATATTGCCATTTTCCTTTCTCTTTTCATCGGCACTGCAAAATCACCCGTGCCCCCCCTACCACCAACAATAATCCAGGAAAAAGAACAACGCAAAGAGAAGGCGAAGAAAATGCCAAAAATGAAAATGCTCAAAATGAAATAATCACGATTAATCGCAGTGAAATTGTATTCGCCTTTTTCCCACCGCCCACTTCCCTTGCTTCCCGACCCTCGCCCCCCCAGTCACCTCCCTACAACTAGCAACAACATGAAGAATCTGTCCATCCGTCTATGCACACCTATACACATACGTATGTTGTTCACACCTAGTCGTTTCTACCCTGTTTTTCTATTCCGTTCTCATGATTCTTTTTAATCAGCAGTGGTGCGCGGAGTGTTTCTTTTTCTCTTTGTGTTATGTTATTAAGTCATCTGTGCGTTCTTTGTGTGTATTTGTGTTTGTGTGGTATTTCTTTATTGTTTTATCTTGTATTTCTATGATTAACGTGTACCCTTGATCTACCCCACTTACTGTGATGATCTATGATTCCTTCATGCTTATCTGAATTATTCCCTCCCTCCTACTTGTCCTTGCCTTTTGCCCAATCTTTTGTGTGTGTGTGTGTGTATGTGAGTACATGCCTAGTCCGTCATTGGTAGTGTCCAACCAACTTGGTGACTCCTGGTTCTCTAATCCTACTCCACCTACTAAAAAGATAGTTTAAGGTGGTGGTATAACCAAGGTCGTAGTATCCATTTCAACCCTCATACACACAGCCATACACACACACACACAAACATACTTTATCTATGGCTCATTGGTTCACACTGTAAACTCTTTCACAACATGTGTTGAAACTTCTTCACTCTATGTGTACATATTATACCGTATGGATGAGAGGTAGTGTTACTATTAAAATGGATAATAAAGTAGTCCTATTGTTCTTTCATATATATATTTACAAGTTTTCCCTATGTGTGCGTGCTTGAGTGTGTGTGTGTGTACTTTGTATTCTTCATTTCCTTTCCCCCGTGTGTATGTGTGTGTTTTAAGGATTCATATACATGCGTAATCTTCGTAATGTATTATTATTATTAGTATTAGTATTCTTAGTCATAGAGACACACGAGCACACTTAGTAGTAGCCAAATTCTTATTTATTTGAAGTGTATATTTCCTTTTGTCACGAGGTTTGTGCATGCACAGAAAATGCAGCCAGTAGTCGTGTGATAAGAGATGAGAGGTGTCATGTGTTCTCTATGCAAAAATGTACTGTTATGATGAAATATACACATTTATATTTATAATAAAATAGTTTAAAAGTTTGTACGCAGTTTGCAGTTCTCTTCTGCTTTTTGTAGTTTGCAAACGCTGCTTGTTTGATGATGGTGTTTTGTCTGGCTTGAAATTCATCAGTTGGATATATGTATTTGCATTCCGATGAGTTTTGGAGCTAAAGAGAGAGGGAGAGAGGGCAAAGAGAGACTATACAGATGTTCAGTAAAGGCTAATGCTTTTGGAAATTCACATGGTAAAAAGCCCAGATTTTTTTGTTCAACTGCGAAATATTTTCATGAGCTATACAATCGTAATTATAATTAACACAGAAACTTTTTGGCCAATCAGATACTGGTAAAATTTGTCCTTGAAAATTCTACTACATAGTGTGAGGTGTAAGAAGGGATGACTAATTGTAAGTTAGAAAGGAGACAGAAGTTGGCATGACCTAATAAGTGTGAGATAATGACTAATCAATAAGCTAGTGTAGAATGGACAGGAACTAGTGGAAAGGCTATGATGTAGTTTTGTATAAGATCTGTGTGAAAAAGCAATGTTATTAATAAACAGTCATAGGGTAGCAATAAAATGTGGATGGTGGGGATAGTAATAATAATAAAAATATTAAGAACAACAATAATAATAATAGTGAACTTACATATTAAAAGAAAGGAGCAAAATTATAGTAAGAAATTTCCTGTGGCCATAGTAGGGCCAGAGAATGTATGTATCGTTTTTGTAAGAACAGGTTCGGTTTTAGGTCTCGAATAGCTAATGCCTCAGCTATGTACAGATGTCGTATCCAGAGTCCTTTTGTACGATATTGAGCGACTCTGTGTAACACTGTGAAGCATTCATGTAGGGGTGCTCAATGTCCGGAGATGACAAGGTGTTCGAGGATCGAGCTGTTGTTATTCTGCTTTTCTCCTCTGGCTAACAAAGCTGGGTAGTGATCCAGGATACGTTTGTGGAAATGACGTTGCGTACGGCCAATATACTTTGCTCCACACCAGCAAGTAAACTGATAAATACACATTCAAGTGGCCAAAAGCGGTATCTTGTCCGTAGCGTTAGACTGGATTAACTGTCTGCAGGAAAATGTGATACGTAAAGTGGCTGTTGGGGATGTCTTCTTCAGACTTTTTGAAAGGCGGTTTCTGAGAATTTCCGCTGCGATGTCACCTTTGAATGCTAGGTTCATGAAGAGAGTCTTCTTAGAAACCGTTGTGATGTTTGACACCGGAGGCTTCTCCTTCATGTTTTTGTCGGTGAATCTTGGTGGATACCCACTCTCTAGTAGAGTTTCACGCAATAAATTTAATTCTTCCTCTACTGTGTCTTCCGAGCAGATTTTTTGTAATCCTTGAGCACAATGTACGTACCAAGTTTCCCTTTCGGAATAGTGGAACAAAGCTCTGTCCTGTCCATGTTGGCTTACGGTATATCGATCTTTGGATCGTACAGTCGTGTCTTCTGGTGAGTAGTACATCGAAGAAAGGAAATGAGTTGCTCGATTCGCGTTCTAAGGTGAATCTTATTGATGGATGCGCTGCGTTGAAGGTTTTGAGGAGAGAATCTAAATCACATTTTTCATCACAGATTATAAACGTATCATCTACGTGTCTTTTGTATAAGTGCAGTTTACTTATCAAGGATGTTGTTTTCAAGACTCTCCATGAAACAGTTGTCTAGGAGTGGACCGAGAGGGGACCGCATGGCTACTCTATCTTTCTGTGCGTAGAACTGTTCACTGAATTTAAACTGGATATTGAACGTACAACTGAGAAGAAGTTCTTTCAGGTAGTTTATGGAAGGTGACTTCGAAGAATAAATCATGTGGAGCTTAATGACGTGATTCCGGAAGGTGTTCACAGATTGAAGCCTACGTTGTCCTTTGCTCATCTTTCATTAACCAAACTGGGTAGTGTTCAGCTACGCGTTTACGAAGAGCACGTTTACAACGTCCAATGTAATCAGGTCTACGCAGGTAGGTGATTGATATCTGATGCACATGGGGGTGGACATAAGCAGTAGTTTATCCATGCACGCATTGTCGAATAATATTCCGGCTGGTAAATGCTAAATCTAAGTCAGCTTCATAAGAAGGAGCGTTTAATCCATTTAGATAAAAGACTTAATCCCTTCAACGACAGTGTCTCCTATGAAAGGGAAACACATAAACAGTGTCTTCTTCAGCACTGTGACTTGACTAAGGACTGTTTCTTGATGTTTCTCTCGATAAATCGTCTGGGAGTTGTATGAAGGTTTTCTTATTCTATGTATACCGTATCTATAGAGCAAATTTTCTGAATTCGGTAGCATGGAGAATGGATAAGATTTCTCCTCTTGCTTATTGGTATCCAAAGGTTGAACTTACTGTACTGCCATGTAAATGTTGACTTTCGATAAATCGGCCTTTTTAACGCGCCATCCTGTTTTCTGTTTAGCATCACATCTCACAGGTGAAATGCGGATTTCGGTGGTGAAGACCATTGATGAGTGAGGACCATTAAATGTTTCAAGAAGCTTGGCAGTTGAACAGCTGTCGTTACAAATAATGAAGGTGTCGTCAGTATAATGCATATAGTTGTTGCGAAAAAAGTATCGTTTCTGTACAATTGCTTGTTTTTTGTCTCTCATTATAAATGCCCTGGCGAGATATCTGAACAAAAATACATCCTATAGCTTGAAAATTCCCATTCAGTCATAGAAAAGAAAAGGTGTTCAGCAAAGAGTTACTCTTTTCGGCGATATCATTCTCAAGCTGCACAAATCGCAAATTTATAGTAATTTGTCTTGGCAACAAAAGGAATATTTCCAAAGATGTGTTAATGCAATTGTTAGTTTTTGACAAACAAATTACGTAATTTTGAAGGCATTAATCGGTTAGAAACTAAAATAAAGTTACAAAAGTAGGTTGGGTGACGTAATCTAATTGATAGGGTTCAATGAAAAAATGAATGAGAGTCAAGTTAATAATCTGAGTAGAATTCACTTAAAAATAAACGAAAATCGAGTTAGCAACAGTCGTCATGAGTGTAGAGATTTAATAGAGGGTGGGGGTAGAAAATAATGCAATTAAGAAATAGACAAACAAAGAAGAAAGAGGTAAGACAAAATTACGTATTTGGTGTTAAGATAGATCAGGACCATTGTAGATTTAGTGACTGAACAAACTTCTTTTGTATGCAGAGTTCAGGATTCAATATGTGAATTGCCATTGCTTCTGCAGTTTGAAGAAGTTTAATTCGTACTCTTTTGGCAAGATTCCCACGTATTGTGTAGATAACTGAGAAGTTGTTTTGTGGGTTTGCTTTGTGTCCGGATTCGATCAAGTGTTCTAGGATAGAGCTGTGGCGGGGGGATCTTCTTTCTCCTTTATAAAATCATGAAGGTAAGTGTTCGCTGATTCGTTTGGATAGCAAACGCTGGGTACGGCCGACATCCACTGAGATACTGTGATATAATATTCTATTCTTTGTGATCACTTATGTAGGAATAGTTTAAAATACCTGTGTATAGCGTGTGATGCTGACTAGTGTCTTCGTGAAGAGTATACTGTGGATGCAGTGTGTAATGGGGGCAGGCAGTGATGGATTAGGTTGGGTGGGTTAGAGGAGCAACGAATGGTCCTAGTGTAAGAAAAGCAATAGAGAAAGTGTACGATGGAAGAAACCATGTTTGAATGGTTCATTTTAATGTAAGGTTTCTTTGTATTCTTTTTCCATAATTCAGTATCGTCGTTAACCAAATACACAAGTCTGATACTGAACACAACCATGATCTGGTGTTACACGGGAATACACATATACGGAAATTTTGATTGGAAGCGGTGCATATTGATTTATTTTTTTTAAATCATTGATTACAGCTTGATTCCACACCGTATTTTTGGTACAAGCATGGAATTTTCAGCATGTGATATCGATAGCCCAAATTTTGCAGGCCGACCATAGATATCAGGTGTGCGTCGGCAAAGGATCGAACTCCAGACCATGTGCATGATCGGCGACAGTCCTAACCGCTGTGCCACCGATGCACGATGGTTGGAGGCAATCGGCCACAGGAAGCCTTACCTGATCTAGGTTTCGTGCTAGTTGGCACTCACCAGTCAGCAAGACGTATCTGCAGCCTTGAAGGAACTCATATCCCTTCTGAAATTCAAACCCGCAACATCCAGTGCTGCATGCAGTCAGAGACGTTACCTCTGAGCTATTCGGACTCGCGATTGACCTCCTGTAGGACTGCAGTGGGTACTTTGATTGGACACTAGTAACTAATGTGACGTGTCTAGTCCTTTCTTTGGTGCAGGCTGAATTCTATCGGTCAGCCAAGTTTGCAGTGTGGCCACCATTTTAGGTAGTTTGCCATCACGGTGCACATTGGTTTGATCATATTAGATATACGGAAATTACTGACCGTTTGCGCATTCGTATGTGGCTCATTGTACTAGACACTAGAATTCCAGTCAAATGGGGTTATGGTTCTAATCCCCATTCCCATTCGACTTACTTCAACCCTACTAGGTAACCGAGTATTACTGTTGTGGTGGTGTGATACAGACAATGTGTTCCAACAGAATGTTATTCTCATATATTCCCACAGTTCTATTCGGCATTAGTAATAGGATACGATAAATGTTTGAACATTCTATTTCATGTTGTTTAATATAAACCAAAATCACAAGCTCAGTGATTAGTTAACGAACATAAACTGTAGATATATAAACAGCGGTTTAATTAATGAAAAATATATCTTGGCTTCAGTGCCTTGCCTTCTCTTACATTTGGTGTCGCTGCCTGACGACAAGTGGAAAGCCTGCAGTTTTTGCAGGAGCCATATGGATCTTCCTGTAGGACTTTGAGGTTGTTGTGGAGTTAGTTGAATGGCGTTCAAGGTCCGTCAGCGAAGAAACTGTCACTCAGAACGCTACTGAGACGTTGGGCGAAGGCAGCATATGATAGTGTGAGGTGGAACACCGCCGAATACGCAAACTGCTATCGATGTGGGAAGGGCTATTCACGATCATTACGAAACGGGGTCACGTATATACGATGAGAATTGTAAACAAAGGGAAGCGGGTGAACGTCAGCGAATCCCAGGAACCGCATACAGTAAAACAGGCAAACAAAGACGCCAGCATCAATAACGATAATAACTTTATTCTGGAAAATGCGTTTACACACAATATAGAATTTTCAGCCAATCCCGTTGTCAAGTGTATACAATATTCTTCCACCCAAAGCTTGCTCCATTACTTATCAAAAATTCTCGGAGGTATGCAGAAACGTATATGAAATGGTGCACGAGTATTAATTGTGATTAGATCATTTAAACAATA